GCGTCCGCGTCGTCGGCCTCGGCGGTCGGCGGCCTCGGCGGCCTAGGCGGTCGTCGGTCGTCGGCTGTCGTCGGCGGTCGTCGGCTGTCGTCGTCGGCGCCAGCTGCGGCGGTCGTCGTCGTCGTCGTCGTCGTCGATGTCGTCGTCGTCGTCGGTGTCGGCTGCGGCGGGCGTCGTCGGCGTCGGCGGTTGTCGGTCATCGGCGGCGGCGTTGGCGGGCGCCGTCGTCGGCGCCGAGGAGAGCATAAGACAGCATGAGCACACGCGTAGGCCAGGTTTTGTTTTTATTATTCTGCAGTATTCAATATGCGTGTATGTTAGCCCGCGTGGACCCAACCCGTGTGTTTCTGGCAGTATATGTTGTGCCATACATGTTGTGCAATCTATGTGGTGTAATCTCTGTGGTACAAAATATGAGTTGCAATCTTTGTGGTGTGCAATATATGCGATGGAATCTGCGTGGCGTTGTATATGTTGTGCAATTCGCGTTGTGCAATCTATGTGGTGCAACTGGTGTTGTGCAATACATGCAGTGCAATCTGTGTGGTGCAATTTTTTGCTGTGCGTTATAGATTGTGCAATGTCTGTTGGGCAACCCATGTGGCACAATCCATGTTGTGAGCATGTGTTGTGCAATCTATGTTGTGCAATCTAGATTGTGCTCGAGTGCTACAGTAGTGGGCTACTACTTCTTCTACAAAGCTGTATTGCGACTATAAAGCAAGTGCCAGATTACAATGATTACTGCGTGACCTCAGTATTACTATTATTATTACTGCTGCTACTACTACTACTACTACTACTACTACTACTACTACTACAGGGCTACTAGAATGCTGCCACACCATTCATGCAATACTATTACAATAGTTTTAGAATTCTGCAGTCGCAGAGCGCTGCGATTTCTACAATACTACCGCGCTACTACTACGACAGCCAGTAGTAAAGCACTGGTGCTGCAATACAAGAGGATTGCTATCACGTACTATTGCACGACTGTTAATGCTTGGCTGTAGCAATAGAGTACTGCTACTTTAGTACCCCCCCTGCATCTGGAAGGGCATGGAAGGGGACGGGGAGGAAGGACGCGGCGTTTCCCCCGTGTCCCCCCACCTCTCCTCCCTTCTCCCTTCTGGGTCTTGGGGCAACGGAGGAGGACGGAGGATGCAAGGCTCCCCCGTCTCCGTAGTCCCGTAGTCGTCGTCGTCCCTCCTCCGCCTCCTTCTGCTTGTCGTCCTCCTCCGCCTCCTCCTCCTCCTCCTCCTCCTCCTCCTCCTCCTCCTCCTCCTCCTCCCCCTGGGGGGGGGGGGGGGAGAGAAAAACAAACAAAAGTACACCCCCCTCTCCTCCTCCGCCTCCTCCTCCTCCTCCTCCTCCTCCTCCTCCCCCTGGGGGGGGGGGGGAGAGAGAAAAACAAACAAAAGTACACCCCCCTCTCCTCGACCAGCACCAGAGGAGGAAGGTACCTCCACATGGTCACGAACCAGAGACATCGAGGTTGACACGAATGAGTTTTTTGTGTTACATATATATATGTATATATATACATATACATACATATATATATGTATATATATATATATAAAGTTCGCACAGCGAGGTTCGCAAGCAAGCAAACGCGCGAGGGGGACGAACACCAACATACCTTCAAAACTAAGGAGGATAGACCAGGACCCACCTTTATTTATCTATAAGATATATACATATATATATATGTATATGTATGTATATATATGTATACGCATGTGTGTGAAGCTGCATGTATGTATACATGTATGTTTTGTGTGTTGCGCGTGCGTGTGTGATCTGGGTCGGCCCGCGCGTGCCGCTCGCTCGACCTGCGGTTCTCCCTCGACCTGCTCTGGCCGCTCGCTCGAGGCCGCGGCGCCAGAACACAGCTGTGTGTGACTGATCGTGTGTGCATGTGTGTTGGTGCACATTTCTTTAGCTGTATGCATGTATGTATGTATGCATGCTTGCATGCATGCACGTATATATGCATGTTTGTATGTACGTGTGTACGGGTGTGTACATGTATGTGTGCATGCATGCATGCATGCATGTATGTATGTGTGTGTGTGTGTGTGTGCTCGTATGCATGTTTTCTATGCGTGTGTGTATGCAGGCGTGGACCCCAACGAGGGTGTCATAGCGTACTGATGTCGCGCAGCATATGTTGTGCAGTTTTTGTGGTGCACTCTATGTGGTGTATACTGCTTGGCGCTACCTATGTTGTGAAGTGTGTGTGGTGCAAATGTGGTGACATATATTTTGAAGACCTTGGAGTTGTCAAATCCACCGCTCGCGCAATCATCCCACCCTCCCACGCGCAATTCGGTTCACAAAACCCATGCGGCGACGATGGCGATGCCTACTTGGCGTTGGCTGGTGCAGCTCTGCGGCCGCGCTAGCGCGCGCAAGCTCGCGCAAGCTCGCGCAAGCTCGCGCAAGCTCGCGCGAGCTCGCGCGCAAAGCGCCCAGCTAGTTTGGCACAGCCGACGCGGCTGCGGTGGCGCTGACCGATGGGGGCTTCCCAACGCGCCTCACCACAAACCGTGCTGGCGCGCGGGCACTTCAGTGCGGGTCGGTGATTCGGGCGGGCGCGGTATCATGTGATGTCGACAGCGGCGGAACCGATTATGTTGATATCGATGATGGTGACGAAGACGACGATGACGACGGCAAGGGTAATGTCAGCGCCGATGCTGGTCACGCCGATGGCGATGATGATGTCCAGAAAACGTGCGGCGACGAGGCGGCGACGTGGCGGCGACGGCTACCACAAAGCCGCCGTACCAACGGGCAGGCCCAGTATCCTTTACAATAAGTATGAAACCCTCTGTGCAAACTCTATGTTGGGGAACACGCAGACACACGCACGCACACACAGCCATACTTATGCATATAAATATATACATATATATTTATATATACAAGACTGCACTGGCGCTGCGCGCCATGCACCTTGGTCCTTTGGGGTTTCGCACGTTAGCGGAGTGCGTGCGTGCGTACATGCGCACACACATGCGCCTATGGAAACATACAACACATGTACATATCAATGTACTTATGATTGGGTATGTACATGTATATGCAAATAGTCTGTGTAACTATGTGTGCGCATACACATGCGTATCTCAGGCGGTAGTGGCCTGACCAGCTGCTCCGGGCATCTCGCAAGTCAAAGGGGCGAGGGTCTCATGCGAAAGTGGCCAGATTACCATGGTCCTTCAAGTTGAGCAAGCAGGCGGGAAGACATATATGTATACATAGTTAAAGATAGCGGTAACGCCTTGTTGCCGTTTTCGTGGTTGTCGATCTGACGATGTCTTCCATTCCCTATCCATTCCATCCCTCATCCTTCATTTCCCGTTCCTTCGCCGCCAACCCGAGCCGAGCCGAGGTGAACCGGCGGGCCGGCCGAGCCGGCGGGCCGGTCGAGACAGGGGCGACGAGGACGACGACGACGAGGGCGAGGTATCGTTCAGTATTCTCAGGAGAGTTGGGATGCAGCCGAGATGGCTGCGGAAGGACTCCGCGTAACAGAAGTGGGAGAGAGAAGGAAATTGGCTCAGCTAGAATCTTGACGGGGTGGGAAAGAGGAACATGAAGAGGATCAGGAGGAGGAGAGGGGGGGGGAGGGGGGAGAGGAGGAGGAGGAGGAGCGGAAGATACGAAAAATACGAGGAGCAGGAGGCTGAGAGGAGGAGGAGGAGCAGAGAGTATACAGAGAAGGAGGAGGAACAGGAGGATAACGGGAAAGAGAAGGAGGGAGACGGGGAGAAGAAGGATGAATGACAAGAAATGTTGGGAGGCTTCTGGGGGCGCCATTGAAGCTCAGTGCTGGGGGCCCTGGTGTTATGTAGCGTGTCGGGGCCTCTTGGGAGTCTTCCTGGGGCCGTTTTGGATCCCTTTTAGGGTTCTGTTGGGGTTCTGTCGGGTCGTTTCGGGGCCCTTTTGGGCCGTCTTGGGGCGTCTTGGCGGCATTTGACCGTCGTGGGGATCTTCTGGCGGCGTCTTGGGGCTGGGTGCCTCTTTGGGCGCTCTTGGGGCTCTTTTGGGCTCGTCTTGGAGCCCTGTTGGGCTGTCTTGGGACTCTGTTGGATCGTTTTCGGGCTCTTGGGGGGGCCTTTTGGGATATATTGGGGCGATATTTGGAGCCTTTTGGGCCGGTTCGGGCTGATGTTGCCCCGAAAAAGGGAGAACCGGGACAACCTTTTCCGAAAACCGTGCAAAATTCAATGACATTTCACTTTTGGGACCCTCTTCGGAAGCCTCTTGGAGGCCTCTTGGGGCGTCTCGGGGCCCTCTTGGACGGTCTTGGGCGGTCTTGGGGTCTCTTGGGGCGCTCTTGGGCTGTCTGGGAGCGCTCGTGGACCCCTCTTGGGAGTATCTCGGGCCGTCTGGGGCGCCTCTGGAGCCGCCCGAAAATCTCGGGGAAGGCCGAAACTCGTCTGGGGGGGGGGGCTCCGTCCGGGGTCCAAATATACGCATACGTATATATATATATATATATATATATATGTGTGTGTATATATACATGTACATCTATATATAGATATATATATATATATATATATACACATACATACATACATATATATGTACGTATGTATGTATGCATGTATGTATGTATGTATGTATGTATGTATGTATGTATGTATGTATGTATGTATGTATACACATATATATATACATATATATATATATATATACACACCTGTACGACCACCCTTCGGATTATCAGGAGGTTGCGGGGGGGAAAAGGGGGGGGAACATCTGAATCAATCGATCTCGTTACCGACCTCACTCAACGGGACACCGCGGGACAGCACGGGACACTCGCCGATCTCACTATCGATCTCACTCAACGGGACGCCACGGGACACCACGGGCCACCACGGGACACCACGGGACACCGCGGGACATCTCTCGATCTCACTATCGGTCTCATTATCGATCTCATTATTGATCTGATTCAACGGGACACCATAGGACAC